AATAGGGGTTTAAGGAACAGCTCATGGCTTTGTGCTCAGGCCAAGCCTGGCCTTTTTATTTAAAAGCAGCAGATACTCAAACTAACATGCTTGATTTATTTGATTTATTTTGGGGACAGCAGCGGGAATGGGAGGAAGGGGTTGTCCTGGGGGCTCAGGATTGGCCTGGGATTGGTTCAGGAGTGGGTCAGGGTGTCCCGACCCCCAGGCTGGGATGAGTCCTGCTGGCGGCAGGAGCCTCTGGGACCGCCAGGGCTCAGGAACGGGTGCACCGGGATCACCAGGAATAGGGTCTGGGTGCACCAGGATTGAGGAGGGGTTGGAAGCAGCACCACAGCCTTGGCCCAGGGGCGCCCACTGGGAGAACTGTTGAAAACTGAACTTCATCAATATGTCAGGGGCTGAATTCCAGCCTGCACAAATCACTTCCAAGCAGTTCCCTAGAAAAGGAAAAAAACCCTTTCTCTTCCCCGAAGGTGGTCACTGTGCCTTTGAATTGGCTTTTCCACAGTAATCCGAGACTTTTGTGGATTTCGACAGCAGTTCCCGGGAACTGGGGAGAGGAGAGGTCTCTTCTCCAGGCCCTGGCTCCGATGGGTGACAATTCGTAAATGCAAGCCAGCCGTTTGCAGGTGTGCAGCTCCCGCACGGCTGCGGTGCAAACGGGTGCTCCAGAGCGGGGCCACCTCCAGTCAGGCTCCACCAGTGGCTCCGTCCCCATCCCGGCTGTCCAGAGGCACCACTGGCCACAGTGGGGCCAGCTGCAACGCGGGGGCTCCGGCCCGTTCCCCGGCTTGTCCCCACGCTGCTTTTCCCCTCTGCATCCCTGTGGCAGGAGCTCTCCCTCCCCTGCACACTGGGGATCTTCCCAAGGCCTCCGGGGATGGAACCTCCCCTGGGCCCCGTGCGGCCGCCTTGGCAGTGCCGGAGATGGCTGGTGCTGGGACCTGCTCCTGGAGCCCTGACTAATGTTCCTGCCATTCTGGGATGGGAAGGAGACATTGATTAACTCCCATACTGGCCTTGTTGGAAAGGTTATAGCTTAACTAGGCAGACCGAGCACCATAAATCAGGCCCTGGAGGAGCAGGGTGGATAAGGAAATTTTTGTGGGATGTTGCAAAAACACATTTTGGTGGGATCCATCCGGCTGAGCCCATGCGGTGCTGGGTGCTGTGGGAGAGCGAGAGCCGGGAGCAGGCAGGTCACCCTTCTGCAGCCAGTTAATCACAGGGTTTTCGAAATATTTCTCTTCTTTTGGAAATTGGAGAACAACAGGAAACCCATTGTTTGTCTTATGTAGAAGAAAAGATTTCAACTGAATTTTGGAATACTATCTATTCCGTTTCTCCATAGGAAGTGCTGCTCCCCTAAAAGTAATAGGCACAGGGAAACAGCAGAGCACTAGGTTGGTCCTGGTGTGATCCTGGGCAAGGGAAGCACCTGGGAATTGATGAGGATTTTACTCACAGCTGGGGAGCGGTTTCATCTCTCACATCAAGTGGGGACCAAGTGTGATCCCAGGCCTGGGTCCACATACCGAGGAGCCTGGGGAGGCTGTGGGAAGGACGGATCCCAGCAGACCCAGCAGGATGGGTGGTTTTTCTGCAGGCCAGCAGACCTGCAATGCCACCCCGGCCCCACACAGGAGATGTTCACCCGGTGCCACCATGGCAAGAGGAGACATCACTCAGGCGCTCTTGTGTCGGGGGGACTCCCAACAGGAATGACAGCCTCATCCCTCTTTCTAGCTCTGGTTTATTTACAGCTCAGTTTAGTACCTGGTTAATTTAGCTCCTTGGAAACCCCAAGGCAGCAGAGCCTGGTGCCTCATGGCGGGGACTGGCTCCCACGGAGCTGCTGCGCAACCCGCTCCTGTGTCCCTGTGACCCGCTGGCCCTCGCTCCCCTGTCCCCATGGGCAGCAGCACCCCGGCTGCAGGCCCCAGGATGAGGCGTCCGC